TCCTACATCTCCTGCTCTGCCTCCTGAACACACCACTGGAGCATCACCAGTGCCCCGGCCCCAGCAGCATCATCCCATAGGGATATTATAGCCTGTTTTCTGCATTCTTGAATACCTATTGATTCCTCTCTTATGTGCTTCACCCCAACGTATTGATCTGATTTAGCCTCCATAACTCAAAGCAAATTAGCTGCCTTTAATCCATGGATAATTGCAGCAAGCCCAGCTCTGCCTGTCCCAGATTCATGAGGGAGGAGAGCGCTGGGTCATACAGGGACACTTAGGTTCTTTGTCTGTGGGTAAAGCCCCCAAAGCACTGGGAAAAGTGGCCTCATGAGAGCCATGCTGCAGCCAGAACCCAGCTCCTATGCCTGGGGACCCATCCTGCTGTTCCCATGGGAGCTTTGACCCCAAAGCCTGGGCATCACCACCTGGCTTTCTGCATTGCCCAAGCCCTGGGGTCCCTCATGTGGGTTTCAGCCTTAGCTGGTACCACCGAGTGCTGCTCCATGCTCCAGCCAGGCTGCAGCACACAACGGGTTAAGCCCAAAATCCACCCTTGCTGGAGCCTTAGACAAAGCCCGAGATGAAAAGCGGAGCCTGCTCCCCTTTGATGAGCAGCCCCGGGTCCCTCAGCATCTCTCGCCTCTAATTTAGCATCTCACAAAGCACCAAAGGCACTGGAGATGCCACCAGCACCTCACCTGGACTGACAGTGCCTACTGGGGACACCGCTATGGTGGTGATGAGGCTGGTTGGGACCCATTGGGGTCCTGGTCCCTATACGCACCCTCAAAACCCTCCTCCCACCCGGGTACCCACAAACTGCACCCTCCTCCCTCGACATCCTTCTCCTCCCTTCCGTAAAGCCTCCAAAATCCACATTTAATTGTGATTTAACGCAATAGTTACCATGGTCAGTAAACACCAAAACCCCAGCCCACCCTAGCCCATCTCCCCTGGGCACTGACCACTCACTGCACCCAGCAGCATCCCAACACCAACCCACACGCACAGGCAGAGACATCTTCCCATCTATGGGGTTCCCCCACTTTGGGAAGCTCTGCCTGAAACGCAGCACTTGGGGTGTCCTCTTTATCCTGGATCAAGAGGAGCTGGAGTGCAGGGGGGCTCTGGGAGAGGCCAACCCCAGGCACACATTCCATGGCTTAGGGATGGATAGGAATCACCAGGATATGCTTTCATGGGAGGGGAAACTGAGGCAGCAAGATCCCCCTGTAGAGCCCCCCCCATTCCCTGGCACCAATCCACATGGAAAACCAGCTTAAAAGGGGGAGATGGGGAAAAAAAAGCACATTTTGAGCAAAATTTGGCTGGCTTCAGCTGCAAACTCACTTGTCAGGAACACTGGAATTAGCGGAGCTGGATGGCGTGAACATCTGTGCGATGCAAACAGCGAGGGGGGAGCGGAGCCCCCGCTGCTGCCTGCGGATGCTGCAGTGGGATGCAGGAGGAGGGCAGCTGGGACCCAGTATGTGCCCCCCACCCACCCCCTGGTGCAAGGGGACCCCAAAATACCCTGGATAGAAGGCTGCAGCTCAGGGACTCACCATTGCAGCTCGGTGGCTGTGGATTCCTTTTGGATGAATACTGGAGTAACTGGGCTCAGTGGTGCACACAGGGACTTCTTGCACCAGCCCCACATCTCCTACCCCTTATAGGCTCCCCTATTGTGGAGATTGGGCTTTTCAGAGCAACTTCCCAAGCTCCTCCTGCATCAGCACCGCTGCAGCCCTCAACTACCAAAACCTGCCCGTTTATGCCCAAAATAACCCTCAGGCAGGAGCTAATCAGCCCCTGAGCCATGAGCAGCTCAGGTGCTCAGGTGTGGGGTAATTCGGTGTTCAGGTGCTCACTAATTGGCCACCCAAGCATGGCGCAATGGGGTGCTCAGGCGTGACCTATCTGGGTCTTGATGTGTGAATTAGTTGAGGGGTCGGGTGTGAATGAGACACCCATACCCAGGCAAAGGAACTGGGTGCAGAAAACTCATTGTTTTGCCCAATTTTGCCCTTCTTGGAGGGCTGGGAACAGAGATTCCCAAAATACATCCCAATGTGTGTCTCAGGGAGGGGATAAGCACTGGAGCAGGGTTGGACCCGGGCTTGGGGACATCCCTCTCCATCCTCCCTCCTGCACAGATGCAACACCACAAATAGCAAACAGCTTTCAAAGCCCCATCTCCCATTGATGTCACATCAATGCCAACAGAGATAAAAGCCCAGAGACCCAGAACCAGCGCCGGCTTTGCCAGAGAATATTAATTAGAGGGAAAGCCTCATTAGAGCAGCAAGGGTGGCCACCGGTCCTCCCTCCTCCATGTACCCTAGACACCCCAAAGGGGTACTATGGGTGTCAGTGGGCTGAGTAATGGGGTGCACTGCAAAGCCTCCAGTGTAGGCATTAAACACTAAGACGCTGGAAATGTTGGGGTTCTCATTAAAAAGAAGGCAAGAAGGAAGGGGAAAACCGACTTCTCCCCATCCACATCTCCTGGGGCTTCCAGGCAAGCGCAGAGCCCCAGGTAGGGTGATAAAACCCCCTGTGCCCTCCAGAGCAGCCTAATGGTAAACCCTAGTGTTTAGGGGGGAAAGAAGCAGCACAACAGTGATTGATTTGATGCATTCTGGGGTTTCATTTTGACAACTTGGCAGATGAAGAGGAGCAGGGGGACGCAGGATGCTGCCTCCTGCTGCCCTGAGCCTTCCCATCCATGGGGAAAGGGGGTCTGGTGCTGCCCCATGAAGAGTCCCCAGCATCTGCCACCAAAGGGAATGTGGGAAGGGGTCAGGGAAATGGATATAGTGAAATGGCACAGGATCCTTGAGCACCAAGACCCTGCTCCAGCACCCTGCCAAGAGCCCGGCCTGGCCCTGTCCCCTGTTTATCACCTCAGAATGCAACACTTGCAGCAAGTCAATGGGTGGAATCAGTGCATTAGTGACAGGACGAGGGAGGAAGCAGCATGGGGAAGGTTTAACTGCCATGGCTGTGCCCGGCTTCTGCAGCCAGGCCCTCATTTGGCAGCACCTCCCAAGGAGGAGCATCCCCCATGGGTGCCCTGGTGCACAGCCTGACTGGGGGACACTGAGGGGATCAGTGAGGGGGGTGCTGCAACTGAACTCCAACCACCCGTTGCCATGGCCATGAAGCCAAAGGAGCAGCGAGGTGGCTCCAGCGATGGGGTAGACAACGCGAGGCTGCAGTGGATGGGGCTGTGGTACCCAGAGAGAAGCGAGGCAGCGGCACCAGGAGGACCGAGGTGCCACCACATCAGTTGTTTATTACAGAGCTCTTCCTTTTCTGTTGTGTTTTTCCCAAGAGGTGAGCCCGATTCATCCTGACATCGGTTCTCAGCACACGTTTGCCCAGCGGCTGCTTACAGGGACATGCTGACAAGCAACATGGTGCGGGAGAAAGGCACCCTGTGCCTGTGCCAAAGGGGGCTGGCAGGCACCAAAACAAGCTCAGCACATCATTCCCAGCCCCGTGCCACCTCCGGGATGGCTGCTGCACATGGACCTCGCTGGCCATGGGATCCAAGGCATCTGGGCTTCCCCATGGGTGCTCAGCACCAGCCCTGCTCTCTGAGGATGCTCTCCCAGTCTCAAGTGCGGATGGGTGTCAAATCAATCCCTGCAGCACAGATGCCAAGTTAAAATGATAAACCCAGAGGAGAGCAGCCATCCATCTGCCACAACTGCAGCTTTCAGCTGGATCTCCAGAAACACTTCGGCTCTGAAAACCAAGAGAGGAGAGAAAAGAAAACCCCCTCCTCTTCCACAGGCATAGAAAGCATTCACAAGATGAGGTGCAAAATTCCTCTTTGATTTCAAACGCGTTTCTCCTGGCTGGTTACACCAGATCCTGGCACAACCCATTGGAAAGGCAACAGGAGCACAGCTAGGAGCCACTCTGCTTCCAAACGGCAGCATCCTGCTGCTTGGGGTGCAGGATGCTGTGCTGGGGAGCCCTGGGGTGTCAGAGGGATGCTTAAAATGCAGTACTCACCCCTCTGGAAGCAGGGAGGAGGGATGGGGAGGGAGGAAGGGGAGGATAATGCTTATGCTGCAGCAAAGTGAGACTGTGTTGTTGGCAACAGCATCCCGCTTATGAAAGGGTGGGTTACATCCCTCTGCCAAGAGCCCACAGTGCCATCCCCATGGCCGGCACCAGCAGGATGCCGCCAAGCTCCCAGTGACACTGGGTGAGACCCTCGGTCCAGCCTAGGTTTTGCTTGGAAAGCTCAGGGCAAACCCTCCCTCCTCAAACACTGCTCAAAACGTGGTTTTAGGGCTTATTTCTTGTGCTGTTACTGAAACATTACGCAAGCAAAGGCAGCCCAAAGCACCCCAGCATCAGCACCCACCCAGAACAGTGCACTGCCAAACCCCATCCTGGTGTGGACGCAGGCACCGGCCTGTTACAAACAACACAAGACTTAGAAATGTGCTTTCTGGAGCTGAGCTGGGTTTCTGCACCCTTGGCAAAGCCAGTACGAGCTGTTTAGCTCTTTGGAAGTGCTCAGGCTGAGTGGTGTGGCACGTTTTCATCAGCTGTGGTGACCAGCAGGGGTTCTGCACGCACTATATATTAACTTAATGTACGTTACAATCCACCCTGTAATGGAAAAACACCGCGGCTGCTGTAGCTGGTAACACTTTCAGAAGCACTTGACTCCCAAGTCGTCCAGGTGCTTTTGACAGTGTTATCCCGGGTTGCTATAGGAACTCTAATAGTTTTCCCATCTGACTTCTCCATTAAAGCTGGGATTTATGGTTAATTTGTTTTCCTTTTCCTTGGTGAGAAGAGGCGAGGAGCAAACGTGTGTGCGCAGGGGGAGGAGATGCTCCTCAGTGGGTACCTCTTGACCATCCCAAAGCCAGCACTGGGGAGCAGAGCTGCTTCTGCTGAGATGCTGCCAGAGCCATGGTGCAAGCAGAGCCCAACCATGCTGTCAGGGACAGGCCAGGATGCAGTTGATGCTGAGGGTGGGTTTATTATGGGTGTCTCAGTCCCTCAGGGGCAGAGGGATCACGGGCAGAGCATCCCACGCAGCTCCTGGAGCGAGGTGATGGGCAGGGAGCAGGTGAAGTTGCTGCAGACGTAGGCGGTGGCTTTCCCATCCTTCCTCTCCAGGGATGCAAGGAAAGGCAACTGGCGGTAGAGGAACCCAGCGCTGTCTCCATCTGCCAGCATCAGCACCTGCCCGAGAAGGAGATGTGAGAGCTGGACAGCACAGGCAGCATCCCCCATGCGCTCATCCATTGAAGGGATACGGATGGGGAGCCCTCTGCCAGGGTCCCACAGTGGCAACATCCCCATCACACCTGCACTGCAAGGCGTGCGTGACCCACACCATCCCCAGCAGCTTTGCCTCCCTTTTCTAGCAGGGACCAACACCCAGTGTCCCAGAGCCTGCAGATACCCACCCAACCCAGGGGCAGCTCCAATGCCAGTATCAGCATCACCCCATCCCACCCTGCAGCCCTTCAGCTGCTTCCCAAGGAGCTCAGACACAGGGGAGCAATGGGCTGGGGGCTCTCCCAGCTGACAGAGCAGCACAGCCAGGGTGACTGCTGGGATAATTAGCTTTTCTGAAAGGGAAAATGTTTGTTAAAGCCTCAGGGCCTGTGGGCTCCTCAGGGAAAGGCCAGGAGCCAGCCGGGAGCTTGATGCCCACACAAACGCAAAGGGTGAGCAGAACTCCAGCCATTCCCAAAGTCCAAGGCACAGTGGCAGCATCCCACTGTTGGAGTATATGGCTCTCTCTCATCTGCCCCAGCCCTACCATATGCACCCACTGTGGTGCCCACTGAGCACTGACACACTTGCCACGTGTTCATGCTGCTGCCACCAAGGGATGCTGACAGTAAGCACTGCCACCCACAGCACACACATCTCCCACCCCAGCATGCAGCATCCTCTGCCCTGGACCAGGAGCAAACACAAAGCCAGGGATGACACCCAGCAGGAACACCATGCAGCCTGACCCAGGCCTGGGAGGGGCTGCTCCATGGGGTCACCATGTCCCCAAGTCCTTGTCCTGGATAACAGCTGCTGCAGCCCCATCCTATCCCCCATCACCCCTCATCACTGCTCAGCCCCTGCCTTGACGCAGCGCTGGCTCAGCCTGTCCCCCTGCCTGCCCCTCCTGTTCTTCCCGCAGCCTCCTCCCCGCTCTCCTTTGTCTGGAATTAATTCCAGGAGTGATTAATTACCAATTCATGTCCAATCTGAAATTCATTATTCATTTTTCTCACAAGCTCCCTAAGGTCCTCTTGCGGGGCCAGCATGAAGGCGAGCACAGGCTAGCGCTCTGCAGCTGAGGAGATAATGGGATCCTCCATAATTACCCTAAAGACCATTAACAGGGCAGGGATCTATACCAGGACCAGGGATCCAGTCCCCTCTGCTCCCAGCACCAGCATCCCCAGGGAAGCAACCACTGGCATCACCCTGGAGCATTAACAGCCCCATGGCAGTTGCCTGTGGCAAAAGGCTGCTCCGGTGACAGGGTCCATTGAAACCTGTGACCTCAATGTCATTTCATCATTACAGCAAGAATTTCAATGTGAGGTTTATAAGGAATTAATTACTGGAACGACCTAATTAATTGTGTTCCTGCAGATGAGCTTAGCCCCCAGCACCCTGCCAACACCGAGGGTGGCAGGGGACACGGCCGTGATGCTTTCCCGGCTCCTTGGCAAAGTTGATTCCCAAAGCTAATGTGTCCCTGGAATTGACCCCCCAGGGCTGCCCGGCCTCAGGCAGCTCCTTGGGGTGGGGAAGGAGTGATGAGGGAGGCTGAAGGTGGGTAGGAAAAGGAGTGGCTGCATCTCCATGTGATGCAGCATGGAAAGAGGGATGCTGTTGGGAAGCGGCAGGATGGGGATGCTGGGCTCAGGCTGAGCTGTTTAAAGCAGCCACTGCTGGAGCCGCTCCCTGGGCTGTGCTGCCAGTGCTTTGTGGCAGGGAGAGGGGTGCAGGGGCTCAGCCATGGCTCCGCGAGCTGTGCTTATGGATATGGAAAGGATAGGATGCTTCCCAAAAGGAAGGCAGGACAGAGGAGGAGGAGGATGGGTGCTATCGCACTGGGAGAAAGGATGCAGGCAGCAGCAGGGAATGCGATGCCAGCCAATGGGAAGTGGCTATGCAGGGAGTAGGGAGGGCTGGCACCTCTACCTTGGTTGGGCTGAAGACAGAGTGGACACAGCGCAGCATCTCTTTGGTGTCTTCTCCTTGGGGGTCCCCACAGATAACGACCTGTCCAGGGAGAGCATGGATGGCAGAAGGGAGAAATCAGAGCTGTGACTGCACCCACACCACCCAGGTCATGTAAGGGACACCAAAGCCCCAGCCTGTACCTGCTTGACGGTGTGATGGAAGACAGCGGTGGCCCGGGCCATCTCTGGCAGGACTATTGGGATCTTCTGCAGCCTCTCTGAGTAGGCAGCCAAGATCTGCCTGGCTTTTTCCACCCAGTCTGTCTGGCCAGAGTAACAAGCTGCTCGGAGCAGGTTTGTGACCGTGACAGAGTTGGGAGTGGGCTCTGCTCCATCTTGGTCTGCAGGGGACAATATCTCCTCCATCAGCCCAATGCTTCATCACCCCATGGCTTAGTCCTCCAGCCAGGCATCACCCCTGCCCCACAGCATAACCCACGGCATGGCCACATCCCCGAGCTCACCATCCTTCAGGCGCAGGAGCAGGGAGGGATCCCCAGCCTCACTGGAGAAATATGCAAAGCCTTTGGGGTCCCAGAAGAGCTTGTCTTGCATGTGCTGGAGCTGCAGGGCCCACTCCAGCCAGCCCTGATCCAGTGAGGCTTCATACAGGTCAAAGAGAGCCTGGATGACGAAGACATAATCCTCCAGGAAGCCCTGGATGGGCACAGCACTGCAATGGCAGGGGAGGAGCATGAGGGTCTCTACACTGGCCAAGTGGGAACTGCTCTCCAACCCAGCAAAGCCCTATATACTGGTCTCTATATACTGGTCTCTGCTAGCCAAGCAGAGCCCAGTCCAAGATAAGCGGTGGCTGTGCCATCACATGGCTGAGCCTGGGGTTTCTCTACAGTCAGGGGAAGGTTCATGCCAAGATGAGGAATGGGAAAGGATTTGACCTTCATTCCTCTGCACTGGGTGAAGGGCACCAATCCATCCCAACCCGCACTGGAGGCAGCTCTGCACCAAACAGCCTCCCTCCCTCCACGTTGAGCCCTGCCTGCAGGAGAGGAGGACGTGGCCTTCAGGGGGTGCCCTCACCCTGCACCACCGCTCACCTCTGCTCCACCGCCTGCTCCTTGCCCCGGTAGCAGCTCCGCAGCAGCCTCCCGCTGCTGGGGTCGAAAAGGTGCCTCCGCAGGAAGGTGGCCGCCTGCACGGCCCGGGTCACGTACTCCTGCCTGCCCAGGGCTGCCCCAGCCTGAGCAAAGCCCGAGATCATCAGCCCTGCACAGGGACAGGGACAGAGACAGGCTCAGGGCGGGCACAAGGAACCCGTGCGGATGTCACTGCCTCTAAGGGATGCTCAGCGTGAAGCTCACCCTCCCTCCATCAGCTCTTTCCTCTAAGTCACCTACTGTGACCAAAGAGCAGGGCAGAGCGCTGCACAGCCAGCAAGAGCTAAGCCTTCACTTGCAGGCAGAAATGGGGCTTAAAAGAGTATTTCTGTTTGCAGGACATGGTCTAAATCACACCAGCTCCACACTCTTCTATCCAGGCATTAGGAACTGTAGTGGTAGGACAAGGGGTAATGGGTTAAAACTTAAAACAAGGGAAGTTCAGATTGGATATAAGGAGGAAATTCTTTCCTGTTAGGGTGGTGAGGCACTGGAATGGGTTGCCCAGGGAGGTTGTGAACGCTCCATCCCTGGCAGTGTTCAAGGCCAGGTTGGACAAGGCCTTGGGTGAGATGGTTTAGGGTGAGGTGTCCCTGCCCATGGCAGGGGGGTTGGAACTGGATGATCTTAAGGTCCTTTCCAACCCTAACTATTCTATGATTCATAACCATGGGAACACTGCCTGGGGCACTGCATTATTACCTGCTGCAGGACATCCGGACACAGAGGTATGGTCCCCCTGCTAAAGCAGCAGTGAGATGGGCTCTGCGCCCTGCCGGGGTCCTGAATCCCCACCTCCATCCCTTTCCCCAGACCCATACAGCAAAGCTGAGCCATGGGAAGAGTTTTGCTGCTCTCTGCTGGTAACAGGGGAAGAAATTAAAGCCAGAGCAACACCCTGACACCCGGCAGCCCCATGGCTTCTAGGTGAGGCTCTGCTTCCCCCCAGTGCTCTCGCATTCTGGATCCCAGCCCACCCATCACCTCCGTGCCCCATTCCCATCAGGACTCATTGCTACAAGCCCCCAGTAACGTGCTGGCCCCTCTCACCGTTCCACGCCGCCAGCATCTTGGAGTCCAAGTGCGGGCGCGGGCGCTGTGCCCGGGCAGCAGCCAGCCTCTGCCGGCCCTCCCGCAGCACTGCCGCCAGCCGCGGCGGATCCAGCCCGAACCGGGGCGCCGTCAGCTCCGGGGAGCCCCGCACAATGAGGACGTTCTTGCCCTTCAGCTCCTGGTGGGGGTCCTGGAAGGAGAGCCCCGTTCTATAAACACCACCGGGGTGAGAGGGGTTGGACCCTGCGCGCACTGGGGATGCTCTGCCGTTCCCCCTTGCCCTCACCTTCATGGGGTCCACGTTGCCAGTCTCCTTCACTCCATAGTGGTGCATGAAGACATCTCCCAGGGTTGTCCCCTCTGTGGCTCCCTCGACAGGGTCAGGAAGGAGAGCCCGGATTTCCTCAGCTGCCCACACACAGAAAGCTCCTTCTCGCTTCTCTCTGGATTCAGGGGTCGGGTGGGAATCTGCATCTTCTGCGCTGTAGAAACCTCCTGACTGGGAAAAGAACAGAGAACCCTTTTAGTTACAGCCAGGTCTCCATCACTGCTGGGCTGGCAGCCCACAGTGAGACACAGCAGTGCCCCAGACCAAGCTCAGCTGGGAAGGGGAAAAGCAGCCCCAAGCCACATCCCAGGGCAGGGTAAGCAGTTCCCTTTTGACCCAGGTCGGGGAACAGCTCACCTGGTCACTCAGGTCCCGTGAGACATAGAGCAGAATGTCCTGGGCAACATCGGCGAAGAATTCATCACCAGAGATCTGCAGGGTGGACATCAGTGTTACAAGGACAAGGGGGCAGGCAAGAGACACAGCAAGAGTGAAGACTGAGATTCAAAGGAGAGAAAACACATTTGAAAGTCCAGGGATTTTAAATGTGGGATGGATTCAGAGTAAGATCTCTGATGGGAATCTATGGGCATTCAAGAGCAACCCTGGAGTTACACCAAAGAGGCAGCAGCACGTGTTTGCTGACTTGCAGGCCAGCCAGAAGGCTGTTGCCTCCCATTACACTCAAAACCCTGGGGCTATACCATCACGGGTTTGCGCTCCATCTCTGGATGAACAGCAGTAGATGAATGGGAGTATGGGTCTGCTCCACGCCCATGGGATGAGCATCATCCTGGGGAACAGGCTTTGAAGCTGCTCCTCAAACCAAGCAACCCTTCCCAGGCAGCATTCAAGTGAGATCCACGGCAGAGGGATGCCCCAGCCATACCTGAAACGCTCTGCTATACGTAGCTGCCAACTGCCCCTGGTCGTACAGCATCTTCTCAAAGTGAGGGATGTGCCAGTGCTGGTCAGTGGAGTAGCGATGAAAGCCCTGCAAAGGCCAAGAGGACACGTCCCATCCCACACCTCCTGGGCATGCCAAGGCTTTACCCCCACGGCTTTCCTCCTACCTGACCGATGTGGTCATGGATGCCCCCATGGGCCATCATCTTGAGAGTATGCAGAGCCATCTGCAGAGCACGGGCACCCTGGGGGGTTGTTCGGTGCAGGGCCCAGTATGTGAAGAGGAAATTCAAATTCACTGAAATACAGGGAGAAAACAGGAGGCTGTGGGGTGGGCTCTGCCCCACAGCGCTGCCTGCCCCACAGCAGGGCTCAGCACCAGAGACTGACCTGGGGTGGGGAACTTGGGGGATTCGGAAAAGCCGCCGTATTCCTCATCATAGGAGTTGGAGAGCTGCTGGAAACAAGTGGCCATCACCATTTCAGATGGTGGGGGTGACTCCTGGCCCCGCACACGGATCTCAGTAGTGTGTAGCAATGCTTCCAGGATCCTCTGGCTGTTCTGCAACAGGGCATCTTTGTTCTCCTTCCACTAAGATGCAGAGTGAGAAAGTCAGCTCTTCCGTACCTTGTCTGCTTCCTGCCTTGCATCAATCCAAACTGCACCTTCAATTCAAACCCACCTCTAAGCCAGCCAAAACTCTGACATGGGCCACTGCTTCTCATGACTGCATCTCAACAGTCACCCATCAAGCCACAATCTCCCTGTGGTCCCTTTGCTTGAGCACTGCCTGCTCCACCATTCCTGCTCCATACCTGCTCTGCGATTCGGAGCAGCACAGTCCGAAAGCCCACGCGATGAACTCCATCCTCAGGGGGAAAGTACGTCCCCCCTACGAAGGGCTTGAGGTCCGGAGTCAGCCAGACACTCATCGGCCAGCCACCTCCACCACTGGTTGCCTGAGAGACAAATCACAGGGGCACCAAGGTCATACAAGAGGCACCTTGTGCTCTTTAACATCAAGGTGTCCCACTTGAGGACAGACACACGCTTCTCTCCATCCCTGTGGTCATGCATGGCCCCATAGAAACCACCCCGTATATCAGCCCTATATATCAGACCACCCCACATACTGGTTCTTCTTGCCTGAGGAACATGACCATGAACCTCAACTTGAGAGAGCCAGTCCCATCCCTGCCCATGCCTCCTCACCTGCACGAAGGTCATGTACACTTTGTCCACATCTGGCCGCTCCTCGCGATCCACTTTGATGCACACAAAGTTCTTGTTCATAATCTCCCCGATCTCCTCGTTCTTGAAGGACTCCTCCTCCATCACATGGCACCAGTGGCAGGTGGAGTAACCGACTGAAAGCAAGCTCAAGTGAGTGAGGAAAGGCCCTTGGCAGGGAGCAGGACACACGTTATGGGGAGATCTCACAGCCAGGGGAACCCTGCTACGGGCAACATCTGCTCCCCCCCTAGAGAACAGATGGAGGAGAAGGGCCATGGACACTTGCAGAGCCTCCTGGGCTCTGCTCCTACAATCTGGCCAATGACTCTGGTCCTAACAACACGCATGGGAACATGAAATATGTTTCATTTCTGGTTACCTGACAGGAATATCAGCTTGTTTTCCTGCTTTGCTTTATCAAAGGCTTCCTGACCCCAAGGGTACCTGTGGAGGGAAGGCAAAAAAGGAGCTTCAGGGGTTATAGCTGCCAGGACCTGGGCCCCTCTAGAGCTTCCCAAGAAGCTGCTGCCTGGTGGAGAGCAGTCAGGACAGCCAGAGCATGAATGGCTCAGGAGCATGGACTCAGAGCCCATTGGGAGCTGCACAGGAGGCCAGGCTGCTGGTGGAAGTGATGCTTCACCACCATCACTTCCACAGCACTGAGTCCCTCAGCCCCACAGATGCAAGGAGAAGAAGAGGGGAAAGGCACGAGCCTGCTCTTACCAGTCCACGGGGTTGTGAGCGTGCTGCAGGAGGTACGGGGACTTCTCGTTAATGAGGCGGTTGGTGTGACGAGGGATGCTGGGGGGCGCCGTTGTCCCCCCCGTGGCCATGGTCACGCTCCCGGTTACAAACGTGAACCTGTGACACCAAACGGGATCGTTTCCTTGCTCGCAGCAAAGCACAGCCCTGCAGAGAGCTGGGATGCCCCAGAGCAGCACCACCTCCAAGCTGTTCACTCCCTGTGCCAGGGCTGGGTGGCTCTGCTGGGGTTCCATCCACCTCCAGCACCCTACAGTCTTTCCTACTCGTGTGATGCTCAGGTGAGGCTGCTCTCCAGCCCTGGGACTGCCATCCCCTGGGCTCCCTCCCTTCCAGCGCCCTGTCTGTGCCCTTTGGGGCCCCCCTACAGCCATGGGTACAGGCACAGCATCTGCAGGATTTGACCTGCGCATCCCCAGAGAGGAAAATCCCCTCCCGTTGATGCAAGGGTAGGGGCAGGGCCAGGGCAGCACCAACTCCCCATGGCAAGGGGATCGAGGGACAGGAGGGGACTAGGGAGATCCTCCTGCTGCTGGGGAGGATGCAGGGCTGTGTGCAGGGAGAAAGTAAGTAAGTGCATGGTCACGCAGGGGATACAGGGATGCAGGGAGGTTTGCTGAGCTCCAGGGAACATTTCAGGGAATACAGGGATGATTGCGGGAGGATGCAGAGGGAAGCAGGGAGGATGTTAGGGAACCCCGGAGGGGTGTGAGTGCGCGGAAAGGATTTAGGAGGCGTTCAGGAGGGCGCAGCGGGGTTTAGGGCTGCTGCAGCGGGGAGCAGGGAGCAGGGCAAGGACGCAGCAGCACTGAGGGGGATGCGGGAGGCACGGGGAGGATTTCGGGGGCGGCGCAGACGCGGGAGGGCTCCCGATGCCCCGCACCGCCCCCGGGGCCGGCCCCGCCGCTCCCACCGCCCCCTGCCCGGCCGTGTCCCCCTCCGGTACCTCCGGGCCAGGCGCAGCGGCACCGCGAACATGGCGCCGGGGCGGAGCTGCCCCAGCCACCGTCACCGGCCCGCCCCGGTCCGTCCCCTCCGGTCCCCGCCCACCCCGGGTCCTGCATCCCTGGTCCCGCACGCTCGATCCTGCCCATGGCATCCCGCGCATCGCATCCCGCGCACCGCATCCTGCGCACCGCATCCCGCGCATCGCATCCTGCGCACCGCATCCCGCGCATCGCATCCTGCGCACCGCATCCTGCGCACCGCATCCCGCGCATCGCATCCTGCGCATCGCATCCCGCGCATCGCATCCTGCGCACCGCATCCCGCGCATCGCATCCCGCGCACCGCATCCCGCGCACCGCATCCCGCGCACCGCATCCCACACACCGCATCCGTCCGAGCGTTTTATTGTCTCACAGGCAGCCCCGAGCCACCGGCGCTCCCACAGACACCCCCCCCCCACACACACACACACCCCCGGAGCAGGGCCCAGCAACGTGCGGGAGGCGGCTGCCCTCCCCGCAGCTCCTTCGGGGGGGGGCATCGAGCGGGAAGGGGGCGAGGAGCGGGGAATAACGGCCAGCCGGGGACCGCGGGGAGCGGAGCGTGGAGGGGGGGTCCGCAGCTCCCTCCGGTCCCCTGCAGGCACCGCCCTCTGGGGTCCATCCATCAGCGAGACCCCATGCACCGAGCCCCCATCCTCAGCCTTTCCGGATGGGCCCCCCCGGGCAGGGGCAGGGGGTTCCCTGTCGCCGGTGAAGCGCGGGGCTCATGCTGCTGCTCCCCCGACGGCAGGCAGGGGCTGGCATGGGTGGCACTGACCCGTGCAGGGAGCGAACCGCCGGAGCTCCGAGGTCTTGGGGGGGGAAAGGCCGGGGGGGGGGGTGTAACAGCGGGGAAGGAGCGAGAGTCTGTTTGTTTGTCCATAGGGTTCAGAGGAAGGGGTTGAGCCCCCCCGGAGCGGGCGGCGGGGCCGGGGCTCCACCGAGCGGCAGTAACGGCTGCGGCAGGTTGCCGGGGAGTTCGGGGGGGAAGGTGCCAGCCTGCGGGAAGGCACTGGCGGATGCGGGGAGAGCAGCGGAGGTGGTGGGGATGCTGCTGAGGGGCAGCGGGAGGGATGTGCTGTAGGTCATGGAGTTGTTGGGGAGGCCGGCGGGCAGGCTGGGCACCGGGGAGCTGGTCCGCATCTGGTTCAGCGTCGGTTTGGGCTGCTCGGCGAGGCTGAAGGGGTTGGTGGGGGACGGCGTGCTCAGACCTAGCAAGGAGAGGATGGGACATGTCAGGGCAGTCAGAAGTGATGCAGAGCAGCCCTGTGGAGAAGAACCTGCGGTGCTGGTCAATGAGAAACTGAACATGGAAACCCCACGTCTCTTGGGCTGCTTTATAAGAAGCAGGACCAGCAGGTCAAAGGAGGTGATCCTGCCCCTCTGCTCTTGTGGGACCTCGCTTGGAGTGTTGTGCACAGTTGTGGTATCCTCAACATAAGGAGGACATGGAACAGTTGGAACAAGTCCAGAGGAGGCCATGAGGATGATCAGGGACTGGAGCACCTCCTGTATGGAGACAGGCTGAGAAAGTTGGGGCCGTTCAGCCTGGAGAAGAGAAGCTGCGTGGAGACCTCACAGCAGCCTTCCAGTATCTGAAGGGGGGCCTACAAGGATGCTGGGGAGGGACTCTTCATTAGGGACTGTAGTGATAGGACAAGGGGTAACGGGTTAAAACTGAAACAGGGGAAGTTTAGATTGGATATAAGGAAGCAGTTCTCTACTGTGAGGGTGGTGAGGCACTGGAATGGGTTGTCCAGGGAGGTTGTGAATGCTCCATCCCTGGCAGTGCTCAAGGCCAGGATGGACAGAGCCTTGGGTGAGATGGTTTAGTGTGAGGTGTCCCTGCCCATGGCAGCGGATTGGAACTGGATGATCTTAAGGTCCTTTCCAACCCAAACCAGTCTGGGATTCTATGAATCTGTGCCATCCCCAAACTTCCTCTTCCTCCCCCAAACACCCCTTTTCCCAGCCCAGGGAAGCTCCCACCGCTGCACCAGCACCTACCCGAGAGGAAGGGGTTGCGCGTCTTGGAGGCCGGCGTAGGTGCGACCAGGGAGTCCAGGTTGACCAGGGAGGAGGCGGCGGGGCCGAGGAAGGCCTCGGGGGTTTTACAGTCCTTCCGCTCCTTGCCGGACTCAGGCAGGGAGTCAGCCAGGTTGGCGAGGTCGAAGCTCTTCGCCCCATCCTGCCTGGTGCTGGGGAACAGGTCACCGAAGGGGTCCAGCTCTAGGGCAGGGGGGGAGATGAGCGCATGAGACAGGAAACACCAAGCAAGGGTGATGGTGTCCCCGCATCACCGCACCGGGTGGGTAACAGACCTATCCCCTTGGCTACGGGGCAGCCCGAGCCCATGGCGCGCAGATGGGAACAAGCGTTGGCCACACCAGCAAGCAGCCACGCGCAGCCCGGCCGGCCCTGGAGCTGCCTCTGTTGCAATGGGCAGGGGCAGGTCACTGTGCCCAGCCTGCCCCAGCTCAGCCCCTGCTGCTCCCCTGGCTCTTACCAACGGGGCTGTTGGACTTGGCCGAGGAGGGCGGCTGTGGGGGGTCCTGCTCCGGCGGCTCGGCGGGCTCGGGCGGCTTTGCAAAGAGGTCGAAAGCATCCCCCCCTGGAGCTGGGGGGGGAAGAGGTGAGACTCAAGGAGGGGAGCAAGCGGGGAGGTGAGAGGCAGGAGATGGACGGGCAGGAGAGAGGCAGGGGCGGCTGCCTGCAAGGAGACAGAGAAGAGGGCGTGCGGTGGGGGGCGTGGGGCTGGGGGTCAGGAATGTGCGTTGGTCCGGGGAGGGGGCTAGGATGAGCCGGACCACTGGGGGTCATTGCAGACCAAGGCAGCCCCACGCTGCTCGCAGCCATCCCCCCAGCAGCAGGCAGGTCCCTTTCCCAGCCCCAGTGAGGTCTGCAGCAATGCGTTAACAACCAGCACTGGCCCCAGACCGGGTCCCATATCCTCCCCAGCACTGAGGCACACACAAGGAGCTATATGGGGCCAGAGGAAGCACCAAAAGGAAGCACCGAGGAGGAACTGAGAGGGGGTTTGAGCTCTGAAACACAGACTGGTCCTGCAACTGCTCCCCCATCTGCAATGCAGCAACCGCCCTGTCCCAGCGGGGCACACGGTGCTGCTTTGGGGTGACCAGGTATCACCAGGAGACACACACACACCCACACCCCATCACCCCACTGCTGCTATCCGCTCCCATGGGAGGGCTCCATTAACTGTGCCATGTTAATTAAAGCAGCCTATTCTGTGCAGAGAGAAAGCCTTGAGCTCTTCAAGGTTGCAAGGGGCGAGCGGAGGTCCTGCTGCAGGGCACCAGAGCAGGGAGGCTGTTTGCAAAGCTGGCTATGGGAGCAATGGGAAAGCACCCCGGGATTACAGGAGGGCAACGCTGCCCGCAGTCCCCAGCAAAGCCAATGAAGCCTCTTACCAGGGTTAGGAGGTTGCTCGGCCACCGGGGCCCAAGGGTCGGGAGCTGGCGTAGGAGCAGGGCCCTGGGCAGGGGGGGATGCTGTCACCCAGGGGTCCGCAGCAGGGAAGCCAGAAGACAAAGGCGCCTTCCCCCAGGGGTCGGAGGCTGCCGTGGTGCTGGGGGGGAAGTCCCAGGGCCCAGCTGAGGTTTGCTGGGATGAGGCGCTCGCCTGGGACAGGGGCTCCCCACCACCGGCTGGGACCGGTACCCATGGGTCAGGAGCACCGGCCCAGGCAGAGGCCGCCGGCTCCGCTTTGGGTTTCATATCTGAAAGAAGAAGGGAAGCTGTGGAACAATGCAGGGTACAGAGGGATGCTGAGAGTGGGGATGTGCCCAGTGGGGACCATGGTTCCAGCAGCACCGCCTGGGCATGAAACAGATGAGGCAGCAAAGAGAGAAGCAGCAAAAGGTCCTTTTTGCTGAGCTCCTGAGGATTGGGAAGGGACAGAGGCAAGGGAGAGGTTTCTGCTGCTGTCCCAAGCCTGCGAGTTGCCCCTACCTGGCATATCCCATGGGTCAGCAGACGTGTGGCTGGAAGGGGCTGGTGCCGGCCCGAATATATCTGCCAGCTCCAGGATAGAGGACTGAAAACAGAAAGGGAATAAAGAGGTGAGGGCAGAGCTGTGGGATCACCCCCCCCCATCTCCCCCCAGCCCCCAGGCTGGCTGCGTGCCCATCCAACCCCCCCAGTGCTGTACCTGGCTTTTCTTCATCTTATCTTCCTCCTCCTCTTCCTCCCTGCCCTGGGCAGCCTCCTCCGCACCTCTCTGCAGCAGGGAGTTCTCCCCTTGCCAAGCCCTCACCTCCTGTGGGAAGCAAGGGATCAGGCCCATGAGCTCCAGCCCTGCACCCAGCACCTCCTCCAGGAGACAGACCAGCACAGGAGCTGCCACCGCATCCCGAAAGGTCCCAGCATCCGAGCAGAGGCTCCTCCGGGAGCGAGCTCAGCAGGCAGCCCACAGCAGCGAAAGCGAAGCGGGCAGCGGAGCGAGGCAGCGTTTTGGGCTCCAGCACCCCAAGAGAGAAGCCCCAAGTGCAAGGAGAGAGGAGCGCCCGGGGCTGCGGGGCACAGGTACCTTCTCGTGCTCCTCTTTGCTCAGCGCGAGCGCGAGCTGCAATTGCCTTTCTTCATCTGTGCTGGAAATTGGAAGTGGCTTCTGCCAACAGAGGAAATGGGGTGATATTTCAGCTTGCCCTCAGCCTGTCCTCACCACTGCCGCTCCTGCCTGCACACCGTCTCTGTGCCTCTGTGCTTGTGAACCAGCTCCTAATAGGGCTCCCCCGCGGCCACTGCCCCATCTCCTTCCCCTACCCCTGCATGTAGGCTGGGATGACCCTAAAGCAGGCAGGGAGGTTTTCATGGCCTCAGTGCAGGCAGCAGAGAAGGGATTGATGAGGCATCCCCTCACCCTGGCAGCCTGATGGGGAGGAGGGCTTGTGATGCCTTAACTGGGGAATCCTGCCCAGCCACACTCACTCTGCTGGGGGATAAACACCCAGACCTGAGGCAGACCTGGGGAGGAGGCTGTCCCCTTCCTGCCCTGGCAGCCCTCATTGCTGTCTGTGATGCTTGTCCAGTGTGGGACCGGCTGGGAATGGTGCCCCTGGTGGGGCTGGGTGCGCCTGTGCAAGTGTGTGTGAGCGTGCACACGTGTGCACAGCCCAGATGGACTCCAACAGGCAGCGCTTTCAAGAGCGTGTTCCTACAGTGCTCATCGCAGCAGCATGTGGAAGCTATAAATACCCCGATTCCAGGACAAAAATAGGGATATACGCTCTGCTCCATCTCCAAAAAAGCCTCCATCGGGCAGGGAAGACGGGCAGCAGCAAGAGCTGTCTCCAGAGCATGTCCCCTGCATGGCAGGACCAGGCTGATGGTGCTCAGTGCCAGCCTGGGATGGGGAGGACACATGCAACAGCTCATTTGGTGCCTGCATCCCTCCTTGCCTTCTCCTGCTGCTGTTTTCTAGGGCTGGTTTGAAAGGACTCAGCCTCATTGAGCTTCCAGCCCAATGCACAGCCACGGGGATGCTGTGTCCCACCACACAAACACGGGCAAGACATTGCCCCTAAAACCTCTGTGGGAAGGTGAGAGAAATGGGGGAGCTCAAACCAGAAGCCCTCAGCAGAAGGGGGCAGCCACATTTGGGGGGTTTCAGGATGATTCCAGAGCCTCAAGCTCACCCTGGGGTATGGGATGATGGACGGGTCTCAGCCTGGTGCTGTCCCAGCCAGTATGAGAACAGGGAGCAGGGACAGCCATTGCCTCCATGTGCCTGCTGGCCATTCTGGATGCTGGGCACAGTGCGAGCAGCCTGGTGCAGTTGCAGGTGCATGCACCGGCCTCGGGCAGCCCCCCAAATCCTCCCTCCTCCCGGGGAATGACCCACGGACAAGGCAAGGTGCTGGGAAATGCCCGTGCTCTGTGTCCCAGGGCAGGCAGAGCCCTCCTACCTTCTCTGCCTCCTCCCGACTCATGGCCAGCGCAAGCTGTAGCTGCAGCTCCTCCTCACCCGTTGTCTGGGGCCTCGCTTGCTCCAGGTCAGAGGCGAACCGTGGGGATGAGGATGATGCTGGAAGATAAAGGGGGAAAAGGGGAAGGAGCGGCATCAGGACTGGGGTATATCAGGGAGCACATCAGCAGCCTCCTCCTGGGCCCCATCCCAGCACACCAGGGGCTGTAGCCCCACATTAGAGCTCCCTACCATGAACAAGCCATGGGCTTAAGGCTCAAGGCACAACCAGCTGCCAACACTGCTGGGCTCACCACTGGCACAGCCAAACCGCTGCCCGTGGTACAGGATGGAGATGGGCTTCACCACCACCATCACCACCCCCCCAGGTGAAGGGGAGCAATGGGCACCCGGCTGGTGCAACCCCAATGCACTGATACACCCACCCCAGCAACACTCACAGTTAAAGGAGGAGGGTGAGCCCCGTGCCCGGCCATAGTCTTCGCCATAGGGAGATGCACGGCGGCCATAGGCGACCTGGTGGCTGCCGCTGCCCATGCCCTCGAGGGCCATGCGCTCCTTGGTCTGCAGCGCGTGCGCCCGCTCCTGCTTCAGCCGCTCCTCATCCTTCAGCAGCGCCATCACCTGCTTCACCTTCTCCCGGATGTTGATGCCCTGGTCCTTGCCGTCCCGATCCACGTACTGGAAGTCCTTCAGCGTCTGGATGGTGTACAGGTTCTCCCGGCACTGGTGGGTCACCTTCTCGGAGCCGGTTTTGATGAGGTAGTCCAGGAGGGTGAGGGCTTTGTAGACGTGACGCCAGTTCTTGCCGCTGTCGTTCAGGCGCCGCCAGATCATGCCCATGACCTCGGCGAAGGCCACGGTGTTGAAGGTGAGGTCGGCGATCTCTGACATCAGAGAGCTGGGGGGTCCCCAGGGGTCATTGGAGGTGGCCTCCCGCACCTTGATCTCTGCCTCCGAGTAGTTGTGCACGATGTTCTTCACCTGCCGGCGCAGTGCCGAGGTCGTCATGGCTGCGCGGTGCCCGGCGGCGGGCAGGGATGATGGAGAAGGGATGAGCACTCACAGCCGCAGCCTCACCGGTGCCTGCAGCAGGGAACAAGGACACACAGACCTCAGCATCACCCCAACCCATCCCCAGAGCCCTTGGCTGGCATCTGGGACACTTCTCAAGGTGGAAGTGCCCACCATTGTGCTACCAGGTGCCATGCAGGATGCTCAAGGGGAAATAAAACCCTTACAGCAAGCTGATCCCCAGCACCACAGAGCCGCCAAGTGATTTGGCTCCAGATTCAGCAACATTTGGAGGAGATTTTACCCTGTATTTCTGCTTCTAAAAGTAACCACCTGAAAATGGCAGCTCCCTCCTCCAGATCCCAGCTGCCTCAGCACCACCGTCCCAGCAAAGCTGCTTGCAGGCCCCCAGTCCTCGCACCAGCCAGGGGCTCCCCTGATGCTCCATCTGCGGCTCTGTGTGGCCCTGCTCGCCCTGGCCATCAGCCCAAGGCTCTCAGTGCCACCAAGGATGCATCGTGGTAAACCTAAACCCTGCTGTGAGTCAGAGCCTGCCACACTGACCAGCCTGGCAGCTGCTTGAGTGGGTTTTCCCAGCAAACTCAGTGATCCTGCTTCCACGAGAGGCTGTGGGTACAGAAGCGTGTGCTGCTGCAGGGTGGGGAATTCAGGGTGCAAACCTCCTGCACCAGGATGGATAACACAACTCCCAACCCCCAAAAACCCCTGAGCTGCCTCGGGGCCTTCTCTGCACCCAGATCCACGGCCAGGGCAGCAGGCGCTGGTGTAGCCAGGAGCTTTCCTGCCTCCTCCCCAGGAGGCAATGCCTGTCCTTGGGATGCGCTGCACCCGACCTGATTCAGAATGGCATGGGTCAGTCTGGACCCGTGTTCCCATGAACGCACCAAAACTCTGTCCCCTGTTCTGTGCTAATCCTAATCCCCACCTTCTCCCTGCACAGTGAGAAGACAGGGCCAAGCAAAGCCAGGAGGCAGAAACTGCCTGGAGCTGCCTTGCCCTCAGCAGGGCTGCACTGCAGGGCCAGGGAACCAGGCTGCTCCCAGAGCTCCCACTGCATCTGCCACAACACTCACTGGCGATGTGCTCTCCATCCAAGATAACACTTGCAGGCAGAGCAGTATCTCCCCTGTGCAGCAGTGCCTGCAGACAGCGATAGAGCATCCATCCCACCACCCACCTTGGTGCCGGTACCTCCCTGGACCGCAGCCGCTGCGCTGTGTCCAGCCCTCTCCCAGCTCAGGACACCGGAGCGGGGCCGGGACTGTGCTGACGTGCCCACGAGCCACGCACGGCACCCGCCACGCTCCCGCACAACCCGTGCGACCGGTCCAGCACCTCCTGCTGCCGTGGGCCGGCGGCCAGGAGCCCCATGGCTGCGCCGGCAATGTCTGCTCTGAGTCAGAGAGGAGCCTGGCACCGCCACGCCGAAGTTTGTCTCCAGACATCGATTCCCTTTCGCAATGCAGCCCGTCACCGTGGCCTTTGGATCCTGCCGGGACAACCCGCGCTGCAGATGGACACGCTATTGCCAGCCTGGCATAGGAACGCATTCAGGACAAGGGCAACAACACAGCAAAGTCCTCCGGGACTTGGCTCCGTGCTCGGCTTTCCACCAACACCAAGGTGGGAGGTAAAGTCATGTTTTCCAAAGGTGCCACTGGCCCAGCAAACACCATCACCCCTCCTCTGGGGCAGGATGATCCCTCCTGCCTCCAACAGGATTCCTGGCAGGATAAACCCCAGGGCCAGCATGATGGGCTCCAGCACTGCTTGTCCTGGCCAGAGACCTGATCCCAGCTGGACTTTGCCCGCCATGAATGAGATGGGCCAGGAAGTCTGAATGGGAAGAGATGGGAAGCAGGGGCAGGGGGGAGAGCAGCGGGGCCCTGATTGAGCGCTGCCAGTGGCGTTAAGAGCAGCAGGGATTATCAAACACAGTATCTCTCCCCCCCCCGCCCGGAATATAAAGGCGGTGAAACAGAAGCTGTGCGGGAGATAAGGCGGCAGCTCATATGGAATTACTGCAGTGACCTTGAGCGAGAGGCTGCCAGGTGGGAGAAGGACACAGGGGTGCGGGGACAGGTCCCCATCACCCCGCTGCCCGGCCGGGGGACTGCGGACCCGCACCGGTGGGGGGGACCGATAGGAGCAACACGGAAGGGAGCAGGAGGAGATGGGGAGGAGGAGAGCGCAGAGAGGGAGACGGGGGGAGCCCGGCGGGGGATTAGAGCCTCCTCCATCCCCGATCAGGTGCGGGGCTGGGAGGAGCAGCGCCCGCCATGGAGGGAGCGGCGGGGGAAGGCTCCCGGCTGAGCCCTCGGCCCGGCTCCCAGGGCCGCATCGCATCCGCACTCCCCGCGGGGCCCCGAGCCCGGCCCGGGGGGGCACCGCAACCAGCGGGGCCCGGCATCCCCCGGCCCGACGCAGCCTGCGATGCTCCGGCGTCCAGAACCTTCCTCCTCCTCCTCCTCTTCTTCCCCTCCTCTCCCCGACCCCGCAGCCCGGTGCCGAGGGGCACAGCCTCGCTTACCTGCGCGGCCCCGCCGAGCCGGTGGCGGAGCCGGAGCCGGAGCCGGTGTGAGCGGGCTGGAGGCGGCCGCAGCCCGCCCGCTGCCTGCTGCGAGCTGCCGGGCTGGCTGGGCAGGTCCCGGCGGCAGGTCCCGGCTTAACCCCTTCGGGGCCGCCCCAGCCCCGGCCCGGCTCCCTCCCGGGCACCGGCGCTCAGCCCGCCCCGGCGCAGCGCGGTGCGGAACCGGCCGCGGGGGATGCGGCGCCGAGCCCCTGCCCCGCCGCATGCGGGAGGCGGGGATGCTGTTAAGTGCTCAGTCACTGCCCCTCGCTGGCAGCCGCCCAGGCGCCGCTCGCTGCTGCTTGCTTTGCTTTATTTTAATGGTTTTTGCCCTCCCCATCCCCCTGATTTTTAGACAGAAACCAACGGTCCCGGGCTCGGAAGCGGCTCCGGGGGATGCCGACCCTCCCCAGGGCGCAGCTCCCGCGGTGGTACCCAAGGCCACGGCTGCAGTTTGGGTTTGTTGCATTTTTAATTCATTTGGGTTTTTGTTGGGTTTTTTTCCTTTCCTGGGATCTAAATTTGGAGCGGATTCTTCCCCTGCTCTGAACAGCTCCCGGAGCCTGGCTGGGGGGAGAGAGGGAGGCATCAGATGACATGACAAAATAAGTCATGTCTCTCAATCGTTTCAATGCCACCCCCTCTCTCCCGGCCTCTGCCTTCCATTTTAATCAGTGACAGGCCTTCAAGTATTATGGATATATATAATCTTTTTAATATCACTGACATTTTCCATAATGGAAAGCATCTCCTCAGTGCTGAGACATTCTGGAGGGGGAGCGTGGCTTCCTGCGATGCTCCTGCCACGCAGAGCTGGGACTCATCTTGCCCCCGGCACTGAAGGTCCTGTCTTGGGCAGCGGGGGGGCTGCACTGCCTCCGGGAGCTGTGTGACTCACATCAGTGTTCGTGTAGTCCCATTCTCAGCTGCAGCATCCAAACCATCCTCCAGGTCACCCTGGAGCAGATTCCAGCTCAGGCAGTGGGAGGAATTCTCAGATCCAGGCATTCCTCCATTCCCAATACTCCCAGTTCAGCTGTGTCAGGCGCCAAAGCAGACAGCTTGCCCCTCTTCAGGCATTGATCTTATATGAGCAAAGGGGGGTCAACACCCTACAAGCTGCAGTGGAGCTGTACAAACATAGGGTTTGCTTTGATAGACATCCCATGATGCCACCATAGCCGCAGAGCGCCCGTCCAGGCTCTAAAGCTGATTTCCCTCAGCCCTGCCCCAAGCCAACTGCTCACCCAGACCCCCTTTGCCATGGAGAAGCCTCTGGAAATGTGCCAGCACCTTCTGCTTGCAGCATTCTCCTGCAATCCCCCTTCCCGGCCTCTCTGACAGTTATGGTGTCTTCAGGCCCTGCCTCACGTGATGGGGTTGGTACGTTAACTCCCAAGGCCAGGAAGGTTGCTCACCTTGGTTATTTAGCAAACACAACACAAATTATTAACACTAATACAAATAATGCCTACGTTTGGCAGAGGAGAAGGAACACTCTGTGTGCCTGGCTGATAGGCATCGGCATTATTGGGGCTGGAGCATCCGTATGTCCTTTGGAGCGTGGGGTCTAAAGCTCCAACGGCTGCTGCTCTAAAGGCAGGACTCAGATCTCATACCAGGCGTTTCTAAAGGTGCTGTGTGGTGGCCAGCTCTAATTCCACTGCAGTTCCAGTCATGTAACTTCACAAATCAATGCAAAAGGAGGGGAAAAAAAGGCATCTGGCTCAGAGAAAGCCACAGCAGCAGCCAGAGAGCAGCGCAATGCTGACCCTGCATGTCCCTTCCTGTGTGCTGCTCGCACCTTGTTCCTTGAGGACACCCTTGCCCAAGGCTGTAAGAGACACAGGCAATATTTATGACCAAAAAATAAGGCTATTCACAGCATTTGGGTTTGTTCTTGCAGTTCTTATGCCACTCACCTGCCCTGTGCTATCAGGCTTCTCTCTTGGAAAGGAAGGAGATATAAGCACATTATTCCATGGTACTTGACTGATGTGAAACTCCCATCCATCTACTTGATTGTGTATTAACAAATACCCCTGAGAACAGAGGTACAGATGGAGCCTGGTTTCTACAGGCTGCACTGGAAGCATGGCTCTTGTGAAGGGGCTTTGCCATCTTTCAAGGCAAAGCTACCACACTGAAGTATTCCTGCCTTTGAGACAATCACGTTGCCTCTATAACGTGCAGACTCCCTCTTGCCTAGAAACAGATGGCTTGAGCTGCTTGAGTTGGGCATATTCACAAGCTGATAATCATCTCCAGGGAGGCAGGAGCTATTGTCAGAGCCTGTGAGACACACCCCAACTCCAGGCCTTTTCCCTTCTCATGCTCAAAACGTTGCTGAAATTCTCACTACAGGAATGCTGAGCAGAGACATTCCCCTTGTGGGTCTGTGCCCGCTAAAGCCAGAGGAGGCTCCTGGCTTCCACAGAAGCCAAAGCGCTTCCCTGCTAACAGAAAGCATCCCAAAGCACAAGGAGCCTCACCTGGCCAGCAAAACCAAATGAGCTGTGCTTTGCCAGCAGGAAGAACATCTCCCCTCCCCAGAGACAGCACACGAGCTGAAATGAGAAAGCAAAAGAGAACAGTTCTGCAGAAGGAACAGTTATTTCATGCGTGTCGGGGTAGGGGAGCACGTGCCTGAGGCTCACACGCCGGGTGCAGTGACGTGCGCTTTGTAACAGCGATGCTCAGCACGGATACACATCTGCTGCCTCAGAACCACCAAGGTATCACAAACCTCAGTTAATAATCTGACACTGATGTCATCTCTCTGCAGGGCCAAAGCCTTTCCTGGGAATGCTGTCCAGCTGCTTTAGCAGGAAGATGGCACTTTATTGGCATACACCGGGTCTCCCGCGATGCCAGGTCAACAGAGACCCTGCCTCCAGTTCATCTGCCTTGGAAACCTGCTCTGAGCCAGGCCCAGCTGCAGTGTGTGTGACAGTCCAACCTGGAATGCCACTACAGAAAGCTCCATTCCAGCTGTGATGCACAAGGAAACCTGGACCGGAAGCAGTGCTAAGCCCAGACACACACACAGACTGATGGAAGCAGGAGGGGTGGCTCTGACTCAAGGCCTTACCATGCACACACTAGTTACAGTGTAGATTTCACCCCTTTTAATTCAGGAGTGATCAGTCTCGGAAGGAAGCAAGCAAGAGCTGGCTCAGAATGAGGCATGGGTACCTTGAGCAGGTGGAAAGAGACGGCAAGATCAGCACAAGAAGTAAACTCACGGGTGCCAAACCAGGCAGGGTGGCACACCCCTTGGGATAGTGTGTTTTCCCAGGGACCCAGGATGCCTTCAGAAAAGCCTGGACAAGCAGCCAGGAATATGATCCAAAATGGAATGGATTTTTCTATGCCACTGTCCTGGCACTTGGGCTCATGAACACAAGGGACACCTTCTGCTCACCCACCCGCTAACCAAGAAAGACCAAGAAACAAAGCATAAGACACATCTCGTGTTGACTGGCGCTTTTAAAGCCTTCCTCTTCAGCAGAAATGTCAGTATTTGCTAGTCCTAACGGCTTCTGAGCTGTGATATTTCTTGCCTTGTCTCTCCTTGGCAAGTGCTCATCTGCAGAAGTAACAGATGATCTAGCAATCGTCTCGCATCACAGAATGTCAGAAAGGAGGCAGCCCACTATCTGTAATCACTGCATCACCTCACAAAGAATCTCCGCTTGATCTGTGTAAATGTGGTTGTTTATTGGCTTAAAAGTCTCTTTCTAGTTACACAGGGCTTCACTCTCCCACTTGAGAGCACCTTGTTTCTTTAATTCCTCAAAGAAAGAGACCATTTTGCTCACCATTGAATCCAGCAGCCCATAAACCTGCAGCAGAAATTAACAGAAGGTTAATTGCAGCAAATACACAGGGAGAAAGCCTGGCGATGAGACTGACAGATACAGAGATGGTGTCTCACACTGGAGCACATTAACGTATGGGCACGCTCTCATAGAAGAGGCTGCCTGCTAACAGAGCTTAGCTCTAGTAATAACTTTTCTGGCGATGAAGTGTGTTTAACATTATCCGAGGTACAATTAATTCTGTTCATCCCTCAAGAGTCCACAAGCATGCTAAAGACATCCCAGATAGAAATCCCGCATGTGGCTATGGGATGGCTGGGTTTATGCTAGCAGGTTCCAGGCTGGAATAAAGGACATCTTACTTTGTGTTTCACGCCCACAATTATGGACATATGTTTGGTAGCTTTCCGAGTCAATGCTTACCCCTCCACCTAAGCTTCAGTGTAAGCTGACAAGCAGAGAACAAAACCAAGATACAAGCTTTGGGCACAGACTTACTTCAATATAAAGTTTTTCTTGGTATATCCCGAACAAAACAGGGTCCAGCTGCTCCCGAGGAGGTTCTGCTCCCCCCATGGGCTGTGCTCCCTCTTTCCTGTCCAGCAATGAAACGGAAGATTTAACCTTTTTATCATCTTTTCCTTTTAACTTTCTGCTGCTTGGAGGTTCCTATTGAGGGACAGACACAAAAAACACCCCGAGTGACACAGGTCAGAACACTTCGGCTTGTTGCACGATGCACCTCCCCAAAGCAGCAGGTTGATGACAGTCCCCAGCACTTAGGTTTCAACAGGCATCCCCACACACACACCTCTTTCCCTGTCTTTGTTCTTCTTTTGCCTTCTCGGTCCTTCCCACCAAATAACCTCTTGTCCTCTCTCCTGCTGGTTATTCTGTCTCCTTTCACAGGTACCTTTATTTCCACTATAAAAGAAAGAATTTCAGTTACTCAAAACCAACATTTGCACACCCAGAAGCCAAGCCCACAGCATCCATGCAGTGGAATTATATTACTTTTACAGTCTGCTTTCCTCTTTTTATTAATCTGACCTGTGTATACCACTGAAAAACAACACTTTGAAGATTACTTTGTTTAAATAAGACCTTGTACCAGAACAGGCCTGTAAAACAGCTTAGGGGTTTTCTGGGTTAGTCTGTGTGAAAACCACCTAAATTAACCAGCTAAATTAAAAGGCTTTATTTGTGTGGTGGGTTTTTAATGGCACAAAACCACAGATCACAACTGGCATCATACAAATGTCTTTTTTAATGATGCATTTTCTCATAGGAGCTTTGAGGGGAAACTGCTGAAATTGTCATTTCAGTTGAACTTCAGCATGTGCTGTTGATTCGCAAC